GAAGGAGAAAATGTATGATCTCAAGTTAGTCAAAGTCTGCTTTGAAAGAAAGAAATCGGACTAAGGAATTTTGTTCTTTGAAAGACACAGGAGAAGAAAAAGACAAGCCACAGAATAAAAGAAAATATTTGCAAATTGCTTATCTGATAAAAGTTGCTATCAAAATACATAAAAATACTCAAAACTCGGGGCGCCTGGGTGGCTCAGTGGGTTAAGCCGCTGCCTTCGGCTCAGGTCATGATCTCAGGGTCCTGGGATTGAGTCCCACATCGGGCTCTCTGCTCAGCAAGAAGCCTGCTTCCTCCTCTCTCTCTCTCTCTGCCTGCCTCTCCATCTACTTGTGATCTCTCTCTGTCAAATAAATAAATAAAATCTTTAAAAATAAAAAAAAAAAAAAAAACTCAAAACTCAATAATAAGAACATAGACTAATAAGCTTTTAAAATATGGTCAAAATATTTGAATTACCAAAGAAGACATATTGAGTGCAAATAAACTTGTTGAAAGTTTCTCAAAATCATTAGTCATTATAAAACTGCAAATTAAAACCACAATGAGATACTATTGTATACCTTTTGGAATGGTTAAAATTAAAAAGACCAACAACATCAAGTGTTGATAAAGATGAGCAATTGAAAAATCTCATACACTGCTTGTGGGAATATAAAATAGTATAACCACTTTTTAAAAAGTTTTAATTTAAACTCCAGTTAGTTAATATACAATGTAATATTGTTTTCAGATGTACCATATTGTCACTCCACACTTCCACAAACACATGGTACTCCTCGTAACAATTGCCCTCCTTAATCCCTTCCTCTGTTTAACCCATCCTCCCACCCACCTCCCCTCTGATAACCATCAGTTTGTTCTCTATAGTTAAGAGTCAGTTACTTGGTTTGCCTCTCTTCCCCTCCCCTCCCCACAATTGAACCATGTTCATTTGTTTTCTTTCTTAAATTCCATATATGAGTGAAATCAAATGGTATTTGTCTTTCTCTGACTGACATATCACTTAGCATACTATTCTCTAGCTCCATCCACATTGTTGCAAATGCAGATTTCATTCTTTTCTATGGCTGAGTAATATTCCATTGTATATGTATACCACATCTTTTTTTAAAATTTCATTTTTTCAGTGTTCCAGGATTCATTGTTTATGTACCACACCCAGTGCTCCATGCAATACGTGCCCTCCTTAATACCCACCACCAGGCTCACCCAACCCCCTCCCTCCTCCCCTCCAAAACCCACAGTCTCTCATGGTTCGTCTCCCCCTCCAATTCCCCCAATTCACTTTTTCTTTTCTTTTCCTAATATCCTCCATGTTGTCCCTTATGCTCCACATGTAAGTGAAACCATATGATAAGTGACTTTCTCTGCTTGACTTATTTTACTCAGCATAATCTCCTCCAGTCCCGTCCATATTGATTCAAAAGTTGGGTATTCATCCTTTCTGATGGAGGCATAATATTCCATTGTATATATGGACCATATCTTTATCCATTTGTCTGTTGAAGGACATCTTGGCTCTTTCCACAGTTTGGCGACTGTGGCCATTGCTGTTATGAACATTAGGGTACAGGTGGCCATTCTTTTCACTACATCTGTATCTTTGGGGTAAATACCCAGTAGTGCAATTGCAGGGTCATAGGGAAGCTCTATTTTTAATTTCATTTTTTTTTAATTTTAATTTTAATTTTTTTTTTTGAGAGAGAGAGATCACAAATAGGCAGAGAGGCAGGCAGGGAGAGAGAGAGGAGGAAGCAGGCTTCCTGCCAAGCAGAGAGCCCAATGCGAAACTTGATCCCAGGACTCTGAGATCATGACCTGAGCTGAAGGCACAGGCTTAACCCACTGAGCCACCCAGGCGCCCTCTATTTTTAATTTCTTAAGGAATCTCCACACTGTTTTCCAAAGTGGCTGCACCAACTTGCATTCCCACCAACAGTGTGAGAGGGTTCCCCTTTCTCCACATCTCTCCAACACTTGTTGTTTACTGTCTTGTTAATTTTGGCCATTCTAACTGGTGTAAGGTGGTATCTCAATGTGGTTTTGATTTGAATCTCCCTGATTATACCATATCTTCTTCATCTATTCATTAGTTGATGGACATTTGGGCCTTTTCTGATTTGGCTATTGTTGATAATATAGGGGTGCATGTATCCCTTCAAATCCATGCTTTTGTATCCTTTGGATAAATACCTAGTAGCACATAGGATAGTTCAATTTTTAACTTTTTGAGGAATCCCCATACTATTTTCCAGAGTTGGTGCACCAGTTTGCATTCCCATCAACAGTGTAAGAGGGTTCCTCTTTCTTGGCATCCTCACCAATACCTGTTGTTTCCTGTGTTCTTAATTTTAGCCATTCTGACTGATGTGAGGTGATATGTCATTGTGGTTTTCATTTGTATTTCCCCGATGATGGTATTGGCACAAAATAGACACACTGTTCAATGGAACAGAATAAAAAACCCCAAAATGAACCCACAACTATATGGTCAACTAATCTTTGACAAAGCAGGGAAGAATATCCAATGGAAAAAAGATAGTCTCTTCAACAAATGGTGTTGGGAAAACTGGACAGCAACAAGCGAAGGAATGAAACCAGACCCCTTTCATATACCATATGCAAAAATAAATTCAAAATGGATGAACGACCTAAATGTGAAGCAGAAATCCATTAAAATCCCAGAGGAGAACACATAGCTAGTACTTTGACATTGGTCTTCTAAACTAAGGGAAACAAAAACAAAAGTAAGATATTGGGACTTTATCAAAATCAAAAGCTTCTGTGCAGCAAAGTAAACAATAAAAAAAAAAAACAACTAAAAGGCAACCTACAGAATGGGAGAAGATATTTGTAAATGACATATCTGATAAAGTTTAGTATCCAAAATATATAAAGAACGTATAAAACTCAACACCCAAAAAACAAATAATCCAGTTTAAAAATGGGCAGAAGACATGAGTAGACATTTTTCCAAAGAAGACATCCAGATGGCCAACAGACATATAACCACTTTGTAAAAGTTTGGTAGTCTTGTTTTAAATTGAACATTTATATACCATGTGACCCAGCCATTCCAACCTAAGTATTTATCCCAAAGAAATGAAAGCATAGGTCTATAAGATAAGTCATGAATAAATGTACAGATATTCATAGCAATTTCATTTTTTTAGAGAGGGAGGGGGCAGAGGGAGAGAGAGTGAGATAATCTTTTTAAGATTTTATTTATGTAGTGATCTGAAGGGGCACATGCACCCGAATGTTTATAGCAGCAATGTCCACAACAGCCAAACTATGGAAAGAACCTAGATGTCCATCAACAGATGAATGGTTAAAGAAGATGTGGTATATATATACAATGGAATACTATGCCGCTATCAAAAGAAACAAAATCTTGCCATTTGCAATAATGTGGATGGAACTAGAGGGTATTATGCTAAGTGAAATAAGTCAATCAGAGAAAGACAATTATCATATGATCTCTCTGATATGAGGAATTTGAGACACAGGGCCAGGGGTCCTGGGAGGTAGGGAGGGAAAAAATGAAACAAGATGGGATCAGGCAGGAGACAAACCATGAGAGACTCTTAATCTCAGGAAACAAACTGAGGGTTGCTGGCTGGTGGGGAGTAGGGATAGGGTGGTTGGGTTATGGACATTGGGGAGGGTATGTGCTATGGTGAGTGCTGTGAATTGTGTAAGCCTGATGATTATAATAATTATATATATAATAATTGTAATTATAATATTATTACATATAATTATAAATAATACATTATATGTTAATAAAAATATCAAACATCAATTAAGAGAAACAAGATTTTATTTATTTGAGAATAAGTAGATGCTGTATGATTCCACTTATAAAACTCTTTTAAAATGCAAAATAATCTGTAGAGACAAAAAGCAGATTGGCAGTTGCCTAGAGATAGTGGTGGCAGCAGGGTTGGGAAGGGTATGTGGGAGGAATTGTAACTGAGCATAAGGAAACTTTATGGGGTGATGGGTAAGTTCATTATGTTGACTGTGATGAGGTTTTCACAGGTGTTTATATATATCAAAACTTATATACTTAAAAATATATACAGCTGGGGCGCCTGGGTGGCTCGGTGGGTTGGGCCTCCACCTTCGGCTGGGGTCATGATCGGGGTCCTGGGGTCAAGCCCCGTGTTGGGCTCTCTGCTCGGCGGGGAGCCTGCTTCCCCCTCTCTCCTCTCTCTCTGCCTGCCTCTCTGCCTGCTTGTGATCCCTGTCTGTCAAATAAATAAAATCTTTTAAAAAAAAAGTTAAAAAAAATATATACAGCTTATTATGTGTCAATTATACCTCAATAAAGGTGTTAAAAGCAAACACCAGGTTATTGTTGTTAGTTGTGGGGAGTTGGAGCAGGAGTACGTTTATTCAGAGAATGAGAAAGTACAAATATTTAACACTCCTTAAACATAGGAAAAAACTTACTTAAATTAATTTATTTCAAACCGACTGAATTTGTTGTATTCTGTTTGAGAGAATAGAATGTAGTATAACCTTAGTTGTTTGAGGTTTATTGGATTGTTATATGAACCTTCTGTTAATTGTCTTGGGTTTCTACCTTCCAATAAATCCCCCTTCCATGAGCTGGAATTCAAGCCAAACTATATTTCTTCTTGCTAACAGTTATTTGACAAAAGTTTAGTTGAGAACAAAGGAAAACTACTGACTGAAATTATAAATCAATATTTGCTACAGATTTTTTTCTTTCTATCCCAATCACTCAATAGCACATGCAATTTATTTCTCAAAAGTCGTAATTAATTCTCATAGGAAAGTAAAAGAGACTAACAAAATTGGAGCATGTTATGCAGAGAGTCAGGTGAAATTGTCATTTGAAATCAAAGTTACCTCAAACATAGTCAAAGATCATGAAAATAAAATGAGTTCAAAAAATGCAGCTTATCATTGAAAGTTAAAAAACAGTTGTAATCTGTAAACTTCTCATTTATGACCTACCTCTCTGGCTCGATGAAGCTGTGCTTGCTCAATCCTAGAGATGACATTCTGTACTGCAAATGGGATCTCCAGCTGAGGGACCCCTGATTTGTAAAGGGATTTTCTGGACATGATGGTGGAATCCATAACTTCTTTTTCTGGTTCAGAGTCGCTGTCTATCCTACTTTGCATTTTGATAAATATTTTGAAAAGTTAGTGATTTTATTTCTTCTTTTTTCACCGAATATAGGCAAATGCTAATAAAGGTGTCCACGAGGAAGCTAGGTCTTTCCTGCTCCCACAGGTTGTGGTTTACCCTAATTTGTTGCTAACCATGGTATTCCAGTCCTGGTGATGTCATAGTAAATCCATCATGACATCAATGACTCAAACATTTCTAGAGTGCTTACTATATGTGGAGAACTAGGCATTCTATCTATATGCTGTCATGGTAGGGGGGAGGGAGGGTAGGAAAGAATAGACAACCGGAACACTAAAGGAAATAGAAGATATAGCCTTGCTTAAATAAGCTTAAAATCTAGGTGTTAGAATTCAAGATCCAGTATATCAAATGTAACTCCTGATTCTTCTCTCTTCCTGAGGTTTTGCTTAAGAATTTTTAAACCTGTAGTGGACTAGTTGTGTTACAACATCCTCAGCTGCTCCTCAGCTTGTCCTAGACATGTAATAATTTGGAAGCTATTATTTGGCTGAAGGTCATACTCTCTGCACTGCCTAGTTATTCATTTTTCCAAGGAATGTGACTGAAGAAGTTTCTGAAATTCCATAGCTGGCCAGAGAAAATGAAGAGAGCATTGGACACTGCTTTGTAACTGAGAGGAGTACTCTGGGCAGCTCCTTTGATAGCAGAGGAGGTGAAAGGATTTAGGACAAAGGAGTAATTAAAGGACAGGGTAGTTTTGTTAGCTGTGTAGCTTTTTTATTTATTAAAAAATATGAAATAGTACAGAAATAAATATAACAAATAGCCATGTGCCTATCATATAGAATGAACAAATATTAACATTTTGTCGTATTTGCTTCAGAAATTTTTTTTAAGATTTTTAAAAAAAATGTCTTCATTTGAGAGAGAGAGCATGCAGGAGAGCATGAGCAGGGGGTAGGGTCAGAGAGAGAGGGAAGTGCTGACTCCCCAATGAGCAGGGACACCCCCTGTAGGGCTTAATCCCAGGATCCCAGGATCATGACCCGATCCAAAGGCAGTCATTTAACCGACTGGGCCACCCAGGCACCCCTGCTTCAGAAATTTTTAAATAAAATAAAGCATTAGAGATAAAGTTGGAGTCCCTTTTGGTGTTCTCCCTAGACTCCTTCCTCCCCCTCTGTCCCTTTACAGAGACATTGACAGTCATGAATTTGATGTACTTATGTCTAGTCTCTGTTTATATAGTTTTACTACAGGTGGATATATTCATAAACTATATATCATTTTATAGATTTTAGACTTTATACAAATTATGGATATATAATTTAATTTCTCTACAAGAACTTTGTATGTTGAGTTCTTATTGTAAACTTTGTCCTATGTTGCGTCCTTGCTATAAACTTGTAAAGTTAAACAATTTACGTATTTCAGTCCTTCAGAGAATGGGAGACAGGGAAACATAAAGTAGTTGTCTTTTAAGAAATGAATCAATATAAAGAGAGCAAATATTCCCCCTTCTAATATCCCATTGTCTAAGTTACCCCCTCCTCTGTGTTCCCAAATACTTTGTAAACTTTCTATTATAGTACTTATCTCTTTGGAATGTAACTATTATTTGTCTCTGTCCATTAGTTGGTGAACTTCTCAAAACCAGAGGCTGTGTTTTAGGGATTTTGTTTGTTTGTTTTAAACATTTGACATATTCTTCCTCAGTTCCTCCTCAGAAATTTTCTAAAATTTGGATATTTATTATCATTTCAGACTCAATTCTATGGAAACTTTCTAAGCCCCAGAATACTTTCTTTTATTGTTAGATTGCCTCCCCTAACACCCAGTCACAAAAATTACTCCCTCCTTTCCTTTAAATCACATTTAAGTCCATTCAAGGAAGTTAAAAATGTTTCTGAAAGGACTGCAAATAAGTAATTTGGTAAATGTTTGACTAAAATATTCATCATTATCCAGCATTTCTTGAACTTATCAATTAATTTGTTAAGTACTTTATTGATAATATTAGATTGTGAGATCCTTAAATAACTTTCATTTCTCTTGATTTTTTTTTTTTACATTGCTTATCCCAGTAGGCATTCACAAAGCAGCCTACATGCTTGTCAACTAAACTAATTTAGCATTATTGTGCTCTCTCCCTCTCTCATATTTTTTATGCAGCATGGACCTTATCAGCAACTGGAAATGAAGGCTTTTTAAAGCAAAATTTAAAAGCTCCCTCCTTCCCTTTCAATTTGGTAAGCACTTGTTGAGAGATACTACTATGTGGCCACCATTATCCTAGAATGTGAAGAATATACGATACCGGTGAAGAAAGTAAAAAACGAAAAAGAAAAAAGAAAATAATTTAAGACAGAATATTCAAGTGATAATAAGGGACATGAAGAAGAAATCTGTGGGGAGCATTGTCTTTGGGAAAACCCTATGGAGAGAGAAGGTTGATTGACAAATGAAGGCATTCCAGATAGTGAAGACACCTTGAGCCATGGCTTTGGAGGTGAGTGTTGAGTTTATCTTTCAGGGGAAAGGTAAGATTGGTTTAATTGAGATGAAGTAATGCTTAGTTTACTGTGGATCAGATTTGGGAGAGGATGGAATACAAAAATAAGGAATTCGATGGAGAAACTACTTTGGTATTCAAGTGAAAAAGTGAGTAGATTCATTAGAGATAAAGTAAGGGAGATTACATGGGATCGGAATGGTAAGTCTTGAAAACAACAGTTTGGTGAAAATGAAACCTTTAATTTAGAAAGATTTTTTAAAATAATAGCATGGGAAAAATCAGTGGAAAAGATCAAGACATAATTATTTCAAAAGATTAAGTGTCGGACCTAAGATACAGAAGTGGGATTGATAGGGAAGAATAAAGCTTACTAGGAATTGCTGAAGATAATAAAGAATTTGGATCATCTAAAAGAAAAGTATAAAGACCATTTAAAAAAATTTTTTATTGTACTTCATTTGAAGTGACAGTGACAGAACATCAGTGAAGAGGCTTTCCATACTAAGTATTAAGTAGCGTGGATGTGGCTACCTGATCTAAGTGAACATAGGGCAAAGTTCTTTAAAGGCGTTTCTAAGGGAAACCCGCTCTCTGAGAGGGTTCCTTCAACTGTAAATGGGAATACTATCTATTGTATAAGGTTTTTAAAAGATTAATTCTCATAAAATACTTAGAATAATGCCAGGCACATAGTAAGGCACATACTAAGCATTTCATACACAGCAGCTGCTATTAATATATTTACTATTACTGCTGCTTTTTTTTTCCCCCTACTTTTTTTCTTCGAGCCACCACCTTTTCGGAAGGATTGGGCGTCTGCCAGTACACTCCACACAAGCTCGGCTTTTCATCAGATCTAGATTTGAACTACGAAAACTGCGTAGTTACAGTAGCGGTAGCCCTCCGCTTGACGAGGGATAAAATGCGTCAATAAGATCTGTACACACCCCCGTGGTACAGAATGGTGCTTTCCTCCGATCGCTTCCCTCCCCCCACGACTGACGATAGTACCTCCCATGCTGCCGCTGGAAAAGGTAGCGTGAAAGTTGAGCTCGCCGAGGGGTTTCTCTTCTCCCGGAAGCAATTTTTCTCTGGAACCGGAAGCGGTTGCTCTTTCAAGGGAGGTGGGACTGGGCGGGTCAGGCCGCAGCGGCTGACGGCGGGGGAGGAGCCGGGTCCACTGCCGGGTGGAGGGGCCAGGCGAGTGTCCTTATCCTAGCGTTTGGGGCTCGGGCCTGTAAGCCCGTTGGAGTCGCGGCGGCGAGAACGACTGGGCCGAGCGGAGGAAGACATGTTGCTCTTCGTGGAGGTGAGTGGACTTGGTAATGTCGTCCTGCTGTGAGGAGAGCAGGAGTGTGGAGGCACCGGCCGGTTCCACCGCCATGTGACTTTCCAGGCCGTACACGCCGCGGAACCGGCAGATAGGCTGACACAGCACCTGGGCCGTGCAGGCCTGCGGCTCCACTCTGCGCTCTCGCAACACTTTAGGAAGCTGTGGGAAGTGAGGGCCGTAGTGGGGGAGAATTGAAGGTGGAGAATCCAGGCTTGTCTGGTATGAGGTGAGAATCAGAGGAAGGGGAAAGTGTCCCATATGGACCTCCTAGAGGAGGCAAACAGGCCGGGGTGGGGGGGGGGGGGGGGGGAGGGGGGGGGGGGGGGCCCGGGGGAAAAGGGGGAAGGGGGGGGGGCGGGGGGGGGGGGGGGGGGGGGGGTGGAGAAGCGAGGTCTCGCGGGGCCCTCTGGGAGGGAAGCAAGCAACATGTGGGGCCGCGGAGGGAGGAAGGTGAAATTGGGTATAAGTACGTTGAAGAGAAAGTTGAAAGCTGCTTTTTAGCAGCCCCCACCAAATTTTGTTTGATCCCCGTCCGTAAGTCTCTGGAACGTTCTGTGGGTGGAAAGCGAATTACTGTGAACGGAGGAGACGCCAGTAGGCTTTGAAAGCCTTGAAAGGCACCGCTTTGACCTTTTGTAAAAGTTACTCAGGCAGTGGCTCCGCGATGAGGGTTTGGCTTTATGGACGCATAAAAGCCCTTATAGGAGGAAAATTCCAAGAATGAGAGAAACCTAGTCCGAGGAAAGCTGGCTTTTTTTTTTTTTTAATGTTATTTAACAATAGAAATAGTTTTATTTTAACTGGAACGCCCGCTGCTGGCCTATTTTAGTTTTAAAGGTAGTGGATACCTGATTTAGAGAAATACGAGGTTTAATTTCTCTTATTTCTCTTGTGTGCAGTGAGCATCAGCTGACTGCCTGGCTAATGCTTTGAGTAGATTCCAGATCATATTGTTCTTGCATTGTGAAAACGTCAAACCAGCAAAGCTGCAACTTCGCAACTTGGCACTTGTTAACTATGCCCATAAAAAGAATCTTTTCAATGAGGGAAGGAATTTACAGGTTGTATAATGGATCGAGAAGCCAGGGCCAGTCTATGGCTGTTTTTTTCTCTCTCTTCGTAATATTCCGACATAAAGTAAATTCATGCTTTTAATTTTTTTTTAATCTAACCGACTGTGTAGCTGATAAATTTGAGATCTTTAAATTGGGTTTTAAAGAGACGCAGCTACCTTAGAGTATGTCCGACATTGGTAATAAACATTCACTTGGAACACTCTCAAGTAAATCATGAAGAGATTTGAGATTACTGAGCCCATTCTGTTTACCATTTTTTTATCTTCATTGTAGGGTTTTTTCGGCAGGATAAGAAATCAGATGCGATTTTAAACAGTGCCAGTTTGTATTAGGAACGTTATTCCATGCAAATGCTTCGGGTTTTAAGTGTGTATGTGTTTTGCTGGGCAAGAGAATGTGAAATTTTATTTATATTAACATGAATTCCAAAATAAACTTTTGAGTTCCCAATTGATTCCTTTGGCTTTGTTAAAATGTGAACTTTAATAATCGCTCCATTTATTGAGTGTTTAAGCTAGATCCTCTCTGGTTTGTAAAACAACATTGCAATGTTTTACAGATGAGAAAACTGAGCGGAAGAGGTTAAGGAACTTAGAAGTAAAGTAGTGGAATTGGGATTTAGATATAGGTTATTCTAGTGCCAAATCATGGCTCTTATTAAACTATATTATATTTCCACTAATCATTTTCTTTGTGAATCAGTATATTTTAACTTTTCTCCTATAATGAGTTACTGAAAATTAACAATGTGACTATACGTTTGAAGCCAAATGTATGGTATTAAAAGCAGTAAAAAAAAAAAAAAAAAACCACACTGGTCATGTGGCATTTTGTTAACTAATATTTGATCCTTAAAACTATAGGAATAACCTATAGGATTTAGAAATTATTCTAAATGAGTGAACCACAGCTCAGTTTGATGCCTGATGTCATTCAGGTGCAAATAATGTGGTGACTAAAGTCTGAAGTCTTGCCTCTACAACACAGGTCTCTGGCTCCAGAACTTATTTTGCACTTTCCCCTAAGCCAAGGATTCTTAATCTGGGTCTCTGGTTAGAATTGAGGAAGTCTGTGAACTTCATTGAGGGAAAAAAATTTCCCTGTTTATTTTGACTAGCTTGTAATTAAAATCTAGAATTGAAGAGAACTGAAAATTCTTGAAATTGCAATGGATTCAACAAGAGAAATATTTTCACATATTACAGGTTTTTAATAAGATTTTATTTATTTATTTGCTAGAGAGTGCGAATGAGAGCAGAAGCAGAAGGAGCATCAGAGGGAGAGGGAGAAGCAGGCTCTCTGTTGAGCAGGGAGGCCTATCTGGGGCTCAATCCCAGCACTCTGGGATCTTGACCTGAGCTGAAGGCAGTTGCTTAACCGGCTGAGCCACCTAGACGCCCCCTGTGCATTTTAAAAACATTCTGAGAAGAGATCTGTAGATTACTTGTACTGCTAAAGAGGTCCATGGCGCAAGGTTAAGAACCACTTTTCTATAAACCAAGTTGCTTGCGGATCATCTTTGGTTGGGCTTCTTTAATCTGGAATCTGAGCCCTTTGTTTTTGTATTCAAAATCTTTTACTTGTGTGTGTTTTTCTGGTAAGACCCTAGCTTTTCGTTTATAACTGGAATGAGTGGGACAGATAATAGTAACGGTAATGGTGCTATAATAATAGTGGTATACCTGTATATTGTACTTACTGTGTGTGAGTGAAGCATTTTTGTATAGTAAGTACAAAACACAGTGTTTTTTCATGTGTTCATATACATACATCTACTCAATCCTATCTGTGAGATAGGTAGAATTATTATCTCCATTTTAGAGATAAACTACAGCATAGAATTTAAGAAACTTCCCCACAGCTAGTGAATATTGAAGTTGGAATTAGAACTCTGCTACCTAGCTATACTGCAATAGGAAGCTACAGGCAGACAGGGAATCCTATTTTAAGTAATAGTGAGATGTAACTTTTTTTAACTTAGTCTTGGAGACAAAGGGCTCTATTGATTTAAGTAGTTTATTGGTTTTTTTTTCTCACTGTTCTGAAGGGGACATATACAATATCTGGCTCTCTGTGAAGAGGGAAAACTGTTTGGATAATTCACAAAGTTGTCAGACATGTACCAACATAAATTCCCTTAAAACATTCTGTAAGTTCAAAATAGCATTATGCTTTCTACTAACAAATTATTTAAATAACAGCTTACACTTTTTTTTAATGATTTTTTTGTGATTGCTAGCATTTTTGTTTGTATTTCAGATCATTTTCCCCCCTTTCATATTTTTAGTAGTTATGTCTGCTTTAGTTGTTTGGCCATGTTTTAATTGGGTTTCTGTCTCTAGAGTTTTTCCCTGAAAATGAATACCTGTAACTACTTATTTAGGTAAAAATGACTTTTATGCACTCTATAATAACTCTTAGATAACTTTTATTTATTTATTT